ACGTACTACGACTACGACTAACACACACTCAACACACACACACACACACACACACACACACACACACACACACACACACACACACACACACACACACACACACACACACACACACACACACACACACACACACACACACACACACACACACACACACACACACACACACACACACACAAAAAGACACCCTGAGGCAGCAATGACAAGACACAATACCCCCGATGACCTAATGGGACCACCGTCGCTTAATCCTCCCTCCCGGATGCACGGTTGAGCGCACACACACATGCAGAGGGACGGAGGGAGAAAAGAGGGACGGTCTTTTGACCTCTCTCTCCATTAGTGTGTCTTTCTGCCTATTAAAAAAAACTTAAATAAGTTTCAGCTTCACTAAATCCTCCTCTGGCTAAAGAGACAGAGCGTCATCTCTTTGTAGAAGCCTTCGTTTAAACAACCAACCTGTTCTAGAAACTACAACCCCTAGTAAGAAAAGTGATGACACTGGAAACACAGAGACTTCCCACATGTTTCTCTTATTTTAAAACACGACACCTTACAGGCGCTGGAGGGACTGAACCACACCTTAAGCCATCCCGTGGGATCAATTTCCTGTGAGCCTACTGTTCAAAATGTCTAGATCACATTAAACTCCATGACCTAAAGAGAAACCAGTTTAAAATCCACTTCTTTTCCAAACGGCCCTTATTGTATTTCACAATTATTTATGGTTTTATTTTAAAGGGACAAGGACACAGCGTGGAGCAATGCCACACACCGCAGTATTTATCACCTAAGCTAGTTCACAGTGTCTGTCCCCTGATGGGTCTTTATAAAAATACACTAATCAACCAGCAGTAATTACTCATTCGACAATAATTACGGCTGATTGTGCTGCAAATTGTGTCACTTTTACTGCCTTGTTTTATGCTCCTTTATTAGAAGGTCAAACAAAGGACTATGGGCTGAGTGCAGAAAGTGATTTGAAAAGAAAAACAACATACAAACCATGACGCAACAGGGCTAAGATTACTTGTAAGTACAACATTCAAGTGATTTGATATAATAACAATGTTCCATACTATGACAGGCTTTAACTTCTCACCCGTTATCTCAGATTGTGTTAACGATGTAGGAAACTAACAAATGTATTAGAATTAAAAATGTAATTCCTACAATAAAATTATTCCAATCTGTCTCCTGTTTGTTAATTAAATGACCGTTGAGCTAAATAATTAATAGATTTTCCATTATTTAATTTTTTTTTACAGACAAAAGTGATCATCGGGATAATTAATAATAAAAACAAGTGTTAGTTTGAGCCCTTTTTGACATAGCATTGTGCTAAGCCTCTAGCATACGTATTAAAAGGTCCGGGCTAAGAATAGACAGAATGTATTTACAGTTGTAGTAAAAATGAGAAGTATTTCCATATGTCTGTTTGCTTTCTATTATGTTTCCTCTAGCCATATAAACACTTAAATGAACTCACCGTTCTTTGAAACTCAAGGCTAGCAGCCACCAGGATTTTCTATTTCATTGAAAACATGTTAATGTATTTTTCTGTTTACCCTTGTTCTTACAGCACACAGCTAAACTCTGATCCATTAGCCGCATTTCTAAAGATCTTTCCTGAAAACAGTGTGTGGGTAAGTGTGTTAGCACTTATGTGTGTATCTGTGTGTATATGTGAACTTGCATGTTGCTGGGGGATTACAACCAGTCTCATAATCTATCAACATATGGCTGCTAATAAAAACATCACATTTAGACTGCGTGAGCATACAAGGGCCTAAGTGTGCACACACACACATAACATGAACGCATTTTCTCTCTCTATGCAAAACAATATTATGTCCCCACTAATACCACTAACACGAATATCAAGGTATAACACCCGTCATAATAATACATATCAGATTATCATGAATGGACAGTAAGCAACTTAACAACAGCAGATACACACAGATCACCAGACACGAAAACATATATTGTTACTATAATACCATTAAAAATAATCTGCGTTATGTTTTGCTCAGCAGCAGAAAACCACCTTGTTTGCATCTGGTTGTCAAAATAATACTCATCTGTGGTGTTTTTTATGTTAAGTACATCAGTAACAGTACGTTTCTTACCTTTAGTAGCCAGCCTCAGACACTGTGTCTTAGTTTCCTGAATAAAAAGATAACACAATAGAAATATCTGAGTAAATAAATGTACAGTATATATTCAGTTGCCAACAGTTGTTTTGATGAATGTAAACAGTAAAGTCCGTACTGCTTTCAGATAGAAGCTGTGAAGTACTTCAAGTGTAATTAATGTATATTTGAATATGTACATATCATTATATTTATTCTTGGCAGCTCGCAGGTGAGAGTTGCGAGTTCACTGGGTGTTTAGTCTTCATATAAATAAGCATGTATTTACCCTCTCCGTGCTGCTAACAGCTTGAAGGTAGATGTTGTAGTTCTTTCTCGGAGCCAATGGAGGATTCCAGAAACCCTGAGGGATAAAAAAAGATCATCGGAAATCAAAATCAATAAATTGCAAAGTGTTATTTTATGACGGTTGTTGTTGTTGAGCCTCAGGAATTGAAGTAGCAGCCAGCAATAACGCATTTCAATTGTAAAAAATATACATATATTGCATATAAGTCGTGTAAGTATGTATAGGTGTTTAGGTAAAATGATGGGACTAAATATATGTAGATTTTTTCAACTGCTTTGTTGTCCAATAAATAGTTTGTCCTGATCCCAGGACTTTTTGCAAAGGCTATTATTACTACTACTACTACTACTACTACTACTACTACTACTACTACTACTACCACCACCACCACCACCACTACTACTACTACACTACTACCACCACCACCACTACTACTACTACTACACTACTACCACCACCACCACCACCACTACTACTACTACTACTACTACTACTACTACTACTACTGCTACTACCACCACCACCACCACCACTACTACTACTACACTACTACCACCACC